AAAGTAAAAAAAATGTGTAAAATGTAAAAAAATATTACATGAAAAAAAAGAAAAAAAAATAACAAAACAATTAAATAAAATGAGTAACAAGAGAAATGTGCGTATAAATAAAGTTAAATAAATAAAATAATAATAATTAAAACGTAAATGTAAGAGACCGAATCAAAAGTAAAAAAAATGCTACCTTTTATTTCCTTTTCGAATCGTTTACAATAGCTTTGCCTTTATATTTTCCGTGTTTTCCTCTGTATTTTGTATGTAAATCGTGTGTTACAAATGGGGAGGATTACATGTATTTATAGTGAAAAAAACTAACTATTTTTAAAATCCTATTAACAATAAAATCCTAATGCAACTAGACTCCTTGCTCAGTTGTTGCACGTTTGTTGGTGTGGTTGTTGCTTTAAAAGATATGTGGTGGAAGAGTCCTCCTAGGAGAGAAACTCTTGCTAGTTCTATCTTTTAAGAAAATGGGTGTCTACATAGTTGACATGTATCAGCTTTGGAAGTTGTTCAGCTCGAGTTATTTCGATAATCCGATAGATCGACTCAGTTTATAAATATCTTGGATCTTCATTTCTCCTTTATCAGTTCAAATCACTCCGATTCTATCTGATCACACAAGTAACTCAGATGCAAGGATACTGAATACCCTATTTGGTTCATTGGATTTAAATCTTGATAATTCAATATAAAATCTTGAATACCCAGATTGTTTGAGTAATAAAATCACTTTCCGTAAATCTAAATCTAGAATTTATTCAATATAAAGGTTCTTGAACACCTTCCTGATGCACCTGGATCATATCAAGATTCTAAAATATCAACTCTAAATATCTGATTAGATCTATTAGTAATCGATCCCCTTCAATAGGACATCATTCCTGGAATCCGATCAAATTACATAAGTTTCATGTTTTCCATTCATGATAAACTAACAAGTGCCTCTGATAAATACTTGGATACTCTAGTGTGTTTCTTATGCGACATGTAAATGTTTTACTTGTTTTAAAATACAATTTTTCGAAATCACTGATTTAATGATTTACTAGCTGATGAACTATGACTACATGGTATATGTTCTTTGGTTACCTGTTTTCATTGGAAAATATGAATTGTTTCTGATTTATGGAATCATGGAATTTACTGGTTTATGAATTATGGTTTACTTTTTTCACGAGTTATACTCAAACTGTTTTATTGGGATATTATCTGGGTAGACTGGAGTATGGAGGTACAACTCTGATCAAGCTGGTAAATCTTTATGGACCTAAGGTGACCCTTGGGTAGGCTCTCAGGCCCCAAGGTACTCACTTGGGTTAATCATGGAACTATATATGGTGTACAGGTAGAGATCAGTTATATGATTTATTTCATTATCACGATTATGAGATATTACTAGATTACGATCCATATATTACAGTTTACAGTTAAAACTAATTTCTACTGGATTTTTATATGAGTAGGATTCTGGAGTATGGAGGCCTGATCCATCTGGTAAATCCTTATGGAATTAATGATACCCTTGGGTAGGCCCATAAGCCCCAAGACATCCCTTAGGTTGACTCTCTTTGCTGTGTGCTTAGGGTAAGCCCTTATTGATACAGTTCCCATCTTTATGGATCTAAGGTGACCCTTGGGTAGGCTCTCAGGCCCCAAGGTACTCACTTGGGTTAATCATGGAACTATATATGGTGCACAGGTAGAGATCAATTATATGATTTATTTCATTATCACGATTATGAGATATTACTAGATTACGATCCAGATATTACAGTTTACAGTTAAAACTGATTTCTACTGGATTTTTATTTGAGTAGGATTCTGGAGTATGGAGGCCTGATCCATCTGGTAAATTCTTATGGAATTAATGATACCCTTGGGTAGGCCCATGAGCCCCAAGGCATACCCTTAGGTTGACTCTCTTTGCTGTGTGCTTAGGGTAAGCCCTTATGGATGCAGTTCTGGGGAACTACATAATGGAGTTTGGTTGGAGGGTTCTGTTATGGTTTTAAAAAGATTTATATTTATTCACTGGTTTTGATTGGAACACACTAGGCATTCTATTAAATCTTATGAAACTTGATACTATGAATGTTTCCTATGAACTGAGATCTTTGTGGCCTCTACTCGATGAACAACTAGTGGAACCCCAACTTATCCCAAAAACCTGTATATGTTTGTTTAAATAAGGAAATTATATGGCTTTCCATTTATCTGCATGTCCTGTAGCATCAATAGGTAGTTCTGTATTACTGAGCTTCCCAAAGCTCACTCTGTTACTCACTATTTCAAGTTATAGAATCGTACCAGCACAACTATTGACTTCTGTAGGGGAGTTCCACCGGCGTTGCTTGCGGAGTACGGTGCATGAGATTAGGGGCATGTAGGTTGTATTTTGTTTTTATATATGAGTATGGAAAACTATTTTTATTTCTAAATACTGTCAAATTTTACTTTTGTATTTATAAATCATTTTATGATTTTACATGTTTTAATTAAAATGTTAAATTTTCTGAGATTTTTACGGTGGGTCGCTCCGGTGGTCCTAATGTGACACCCCAGATCGGATCAGGACACCCGCATTGGTCCGAGGGGTTACAAAATTTGTAATTTACCCTATAATATAATTTAGGAAAATAAATAAATAAAGGGTAAACTATGTGAATAGTCCTCTAAGTTTTCGGCATGACCGACTTTGATTACCAATTTAAAAATTAAGGGGAAATGGTCTCTAACGTTATCGATCCTTTTGATTTTAGTCCCTAATATTATCAATTTGTTCAATTTTAGTCCCTCATCCGTTAACTCTCATTCAATTTTAGTCTCTCAATCATGTTAGAGACTTAAACAAAAGGGAGTTAACAGAAATTAATAACAGAGGGACTTAAATCGGATGGACCGATAATATGATGGACCATTTACGCTTAATTTTTAAATTAATGACCAAAGTTGGTCAGACTCTAAACAAAAGGAACTATTCACACAATTTACCCATAAATAAATGAAATAAAATTATGGGTAAAGTATAGTAATGGTCACTGAACATTTCTGAAGCTTGCATTTAAGTCCCCAACCTTTTAAAACTTGCAATACAGTCCCCCAACATTTATTCCGTTTGCAATATGGTCCCCCAACTTAAACCACCGTTAGAAATTAGGGTAAATTATATAAAAGGTTATTGAACTTTTCAGACACTTGAATTTAGGTCCCCCAACTTTTAAAACTTGCAAAACAGTCCCCCAATAATTTTATTTTCTTATTAAATATAGATGTATAGAAAATATAAATGATTCAATTTATATTTAAATGTATGAATCATTTATATTTTTGATATATTTTATTTTTCTTGTATAAACTAGTATTTAAAATATGTTTATATTTTAATCAAAATATTTCAATATACGAATAAACATATATTTAAATAAATGTATATTTATATTTAGATGTATAAATAAAAAAAATATATTCATATATTAATGTATGAATCATTTATATTTTTTGAATATTTTATTTTTAATAAGAAATTAAAATTATTAATTATATTAGAAATACTCATTATATATATAATCATGAATTATAAATATGAAAAATATAATTATTAAATTTAGTTTAAAAATATATAAATCTTAAATTTATTCTTTTAAAATATTGTATCAACTAATATTTAAAAAATATATTAAATCTATCAAACAATTTATCAAATATAATATTTTTTATTGTAAAAAAATATAATAATATTTTCCCATCATTTATTGCTTTCAATTTTTTTGCCGAAGTTCAAATCTCATTATTTCCATTTTCCATTATATTCTTTTTTTTCTGGCATTGGTCATACTATTAGTATATGTATTATTGTATATCTCTTAACACAAACGATGGTGTTAGCTTAGTGGCTCCACCCTGTATCTTTCATTTGCGTGACTCAGGTTTGAGTTTGCCCAAGACCCAAATTTTACTTCTTTGTAACTTAATTTTCTTCTAATTAGGTGGTGACATGTGTCACCAATAACATATATCATGATCATGCGTTAACACATGTCAGATCCTGGTTAAATAATTAATTTATTAAATTTTATTTAATTTAGGACCAAATTGATAGCATATATAAATAATTAGGTGGTGACATGTGTCACCAATGACACGTGTCATGATCATGTGCTAACACATGTCAGATCCTAATTAAATGATTAATTTATTAAATTCTATTTAATTTAGGATCAAATTGATTATATAAATAATAAAGACTGAATGTATAATAATGTCAATTCCTTTTAACTGCCACTTCATCATTTGTATCAATTGGTAACGACTAGTGGCTTAGTTGAAACAGTTAAATAATTATGTTGTATGATTGATAAATTTAAAAGATCGATGACAAAAGTAAAAAGGGCTAGATAGTTAAGTTGTCAACCTAGTAGTTTACACTTTTATTTATACGTCAAAATAACATTTTATAAATTTAAAATTCGAATTATTTTCAACCTCTTCTATATCCTAACTACTTTTTTTAATTAAAAAATTTCTTCAACAGATAAGAATTATACTATTATATTTATATAAAAAATAAGTATCACATGAAATAAAATGAAATTAAATAATAATAAATCTGACATAATTGAATTTAATTGAATTATTTTGGAATTTAGGGTTTAGAATGAAATTGAATTACTTTAGAAATTGGGGTTTAGAATGAAATTGATGTCTGTTTTGCAAGTTTTAAAAGTTAGGGGACCTAAATTCAAGTGTCTGAAAAGTTCAATAACCTTTTATATAATTTACCCTAATTTCTAACGGTGGTTTAAGTTGGGGGACCATATTGCAAACGGAATAAATGTTGAGGGACTGTATTGCAAGTTTTAAAAGTTGGGGGACTTAAATGCAAGCTTCAGAAATGTTCAGTGACCATTACTATACTTTACCCTAAAATTATAAACCCAACCCGTCTATTGAAAATAAAAGAAGAGATAAATTAATAGATTAAAGACAGAAATCGCAGATCAGAGAAAAACCCCAACCTAAAATAAGGAAGAAGAAAACAGTTCCGTCCAAGGTATGGTGTTACTATTGTGACAGAGAATTTGACGACGAGAAGATCCTGGTGCAGTACCAGAAGGCCAAGCACTTCAAGTGCGATGTCTGTCACAAGAAGCTCTCCACCGTCGGTGGTATGGCTATCCATGTTCTCCAGGTTGACAAGGAGTCCGTCACCAAGTATCTCCTTTCCCTATCCTAATTTTACTCATACACCTTTTCCAATTGCTTCTCTATTCGATTTAATGTTATTTTCTTATTTTCTGCTCGTCTTTTTAGGGGTTTTTTTGGGTTCACAAATAATTTTTCCCCTTTAATTTTAGGGGATATTGTGGTGCATTTTCTCAATAGTATTTTCTTTTTTGCAATAGATTTATGTTATGTAAGCGCTTCCTTTTTCGGTTTATCAGAAATTTGTTCCCAAGGTCTTGGAAGGAAATATAATTGCACAATGGAAGAAAGCAAAAGTTGTCCAGGTTTTAGTTCTTTGTACTTTGGCATTTGCCTTTTCAGATTTTCCTACTTGGCCGAGGCAAATAACACGTCCTACGTTTTTCTAACTACAAGATATTGTTCCATGGCCAAATGTTACCTAAATACCTTCCGCTTTTAGATGAATAATTAATTTGGGGATCTGGCAACACAATGAAACCTATATTATTGAGCGTAGGCCGTAGCTATTAGTTCTTTTCCCCAGTTTTATTGTTCTCTAGAAGAAGTTGCATTCCATGCACTTTCTGCACACAAGATAAAAGGATGGGTAACTAGTTAGTTATTTCTCTATATTAATTAATAAGTAGATGCTCCTGAAATAATTTTAAAATACATAAAGTGAGTAACCTCTTTCAAATTATCGCATTACCTTGCTTCTTAAAAGTTGTCTAAGAAGTTATACTTACTGTTTGAATCTTAAGTGTTTTTTAGAGTGCACCCATAAGTTCTATTTTCAAAAGCTGTCTATAAGTAAAGGCTGGAGCCTACTATGTTTTTTTTTTCTGTCAGTGAACTTTGCATTGGACTGACGACATTAATCCTTTTAAAGGGTTCCCCAATGCAAAACCTGGCAGAGATTCAATTGACATTGAGATATACGGAATGCAAGGAATCCCACCTGATGTACTAGCTACTCACTATGGAGAAGAAGGTGTACATATAGATGTATAATTTATAATCATGTTCCACATCAAATGATGATAGCTTGAGTTTCTGCCCACAAACATACAAGTACATGTTTATGTATATTTGTATGCTTAAATGCCATCTAATTGCTGCATTTTCTACTTGAGTGTTTTTTTTTTGCTTTTAGTTTGCTCTTTCTAATTTTCTAATGCAGAAAAAGCAAGTAGTGAATGAAATGTATCCGTGAAGGAGTAAGCAAAACACGATGGATGTGCATTGATCTAAATCATGCTTTCTGGTTTTCATATATTATTTTCGCTAAAAATACTTTTTGTATTTGCACCCAAACATTGCTTTCATTTTTTTTATGGAAGAATAAACAAGTACTAAAAAGTGCCTTTCTTAAATATTATTGTAATAACATAGGTGAGTAAAATCAAGGGGACATTTTAAAGTTAAATGGGGATGCACGTTTTTGTTTAAGAGAAGGAAGTAGGCTTCATATTTTTTCTCTAAGGTAAGTAATCACTTTGCAGGCGGAACTGATGTGTATAAAATGAGGTTGACAGATTTCTGCATTTTTCATGAATTCTACTTTATGTGAACTAGTATTTTATTTTCAAATATTTTCTAGATGTAATTGTTCTTGGAGTGCTCACATTGTAATTGATGTTTTAACTAACAAGTTTAATGCTGTTGCATATTGACTGTGATATTTTGTTTGCTACTGTCTTCCTAATTCATAAAATAAAATTTCTTGCAGAAGATGAGGATCCATCAAAAGCTGCCGAACTGGGTGTCCCATCTACTCAGCTTGTGGGAGGATTGATGCCAGGACCATTTGGTGTTGGATATCCTCCTCAATCAACATTAGGGGCAGTGCGGTCATTGTATGTTCTCTTTCAGCTTTTATCCTTGCAAACTCTTTCCATTTATTGTGAAGCATTTGGATTATGGAATAGAATTGGCATTATTTAAGAATAATTGGATTTTTTATATCATTGTCGCTTTCATTGTGACTCGTCATGTGTGTACATTAAATCATGCAGCATTTCAGTATGCATTTGAAAGGATATTCTTCATCTTCAAAAGTTGTTAATGTAGTTAATCTTACTATTTAATGTGTTGTTTGCCTCAGATATAATGCTGCAGTGCCTGTACCTCCTGTTTCCTGGACAGTGCCTCCTTGTCCACAACCTGCAGCTTCAGTTCCTCCATCTGCTCCTATGGGATATGTGCAGCAGCCATTATTTCCAGTGAAAAGTGTGAGGCCTCCTTTGGCTGTGCCTTCAACATCACCTTTACACCAGCCTTCACAAATTGGTCCACCTGGATTGCCAACATCAACACCTTCACTTCCTGTATCCCAACCTTTGTTCCCTGTTGTCAATAATAGTGTACCTACTCAGAGCTCAACATTTTCTGCTTCTTTGCCATCAAGTGTTGCAGAAGGAAAAAGTTCAATCGAAGTGCATTCAAGTGGTAGTGTTTCTGTGACAGTTCCTATGACTAGACACAAAAATTGTATCTACAGTGTTAGTTGTCTACAGGCTTATATAAAAACTAACTTGCACTCAGTGTTGACTATTAAGAAACTTAGTGGTAAAGTGGAGAGAGTAAAACTTGGCAAAAACTATAAGACCTTATTTTGGCGTTTGCCGTCCTTTATTAGGGTTGACTTTAATTTTTTTTAAAGCACCCTTTCTAAGCAATTAATAATTTAGTTGTCTTTTGTGACACAATCCAACTCAACAATTGCAGGTGAGGTAGCCCACCACTGTCACTCCCATGCATTTATAATTTCATTAGAAATAGAATTAATAGTTAGATCCTGCAATGTGTTTGACATAATTTTTAATCCTTTTCATCTTCCCTGTTGTATTACTTCTACTTCATTTTAAGTTAACTTGCTTCATCTTTTTGTAACTTATGTTTCTATTTGCTGTCTTATAGGTGGAGCTGGTGTCAATTCTCATTCTTATGCCTCCGGTCCAAATACCGGACCACCCCCTGTTATCTCAAATAAAGCTCCTGCTATCCAGCCGGCGGTAAACGAGGTTTACTTAGTTTGGGATGACGAGGAAATGTCCATGGTCGGTTCCTTTTTAATTGAGTTTTTTATTTGCTATTTTCTAGATGATGATTGCAAAATGTTTTTAGAGGATTCATGATGAAAATAGCCAGGTAAGTTTTAACTCTCTCTCAAGTATATGGACTTGGTTTGTGCATCTAACCAGATGGCTAGGCTTTATGTTTCATGTTTTCAGATTCAGTTGTTTATGCGCTTGTTACCTATTTGATGAGGTATTTTCATGTGATTACTTTTTTTACTTGCTCTATATTAAAAGAGAAACACAATTTGTGGAGGATCCATATGGGCCCTTTCCTCGAGTATTCCCATTGATTGACGGGCATCTACTTTTATTTTAAAATATTACTGTTCCTCTTTGCAAGCAATTTGTGTGTCAAGATTCAAGTAGGCAATTATGTGTTTCTCCCCTTCTGTTGGTAAGTGTAGGGATGGCAAAAAAACCCGAACCCGACGGGGAAAACCGAAAACCGAATTAAACGGGTCGGGTTCGGGGATGATAAACGGGGACGGGGAGAACCCATTTATTTTAAACGGGGACGGGGACGGGGACGGGTTTGGTAATCCCCGCCCCGATTACCCGCCCCGATTACCCGCCCCGATACCCGACCCGATAAATATTAAAAATAATTATTTATATATATATATATATATAATATTAATAAATTTAATTTAAATAAAAAATATATATTTATATATTTAATTTAAATATATATATATATATATACCCGGCCCGATTCTCGGCCCAATACCCGACCCAATACCCGACCCAATACCCGTTTAAATAACTGTTTATGCTAAACGGGGATACCCGTTTCCCCGCGGTTTTCCCCGATTACCCGACGGGGATCCCCGTTTAAATCCTCGCGGTTTTTTAAACGGGGACGGGTACCGGTTTTTTAAACGGGGACGGGGACGGGGGACCAATACCCGGCCCGAACCCAGCCCGTTGCCATCCCTAGGTAAGTGCAATTCACTTAAGAATTTCTTGTTTAGCATTGAATTCGGTTTAGAACTGAATATGTATGTATGTATGCGTGTACATAATCACTTAAAATTTGGATTTTATTCAATGCTATTATTCTCCCTATGCTCGATTTCAAAGTGTGGGGGTTTGGGTGGAACAAGATGATACCCAACAGGTTTTTGCTCAAATAAATAGCATTGATGGTGGAATTCAGACTATTCCAGGTCAGCTTCTTTTGCAAAGTTTGGTATCTTTAGCACACGATCAGAGGACCAAGCTTCGAACGAAAAAGTTTTATCCAAGTGAGGATTGTGATGGTTCCTTCCTGATCATTTTCTTTGGATTTTGATTTCAGATGAGCTCAATTGATGCAGCAATAGACAGAAGGATCCTGGAAAGCAGACTTGCGGGTCGAAAGGCATTTTAGATGGGAGGAGTGGAATGCATCTTGAGATTTCCCTGGGATTAATGCCCCCTGAATTGGAAAGAAGAGGGGGATTGGGTCCCCAAATTCTCGGATCATTTTTTTAGGTGGGCTATGGCGACCGAGGCAGATGTAATTGTGTTGTATTCCTTTGCAAGAAGAGAGAAGATAAGTGGATTGCTTTTCATTTAAATTTTAAAATTTAGTTACTGAAATATAATTTGAGTTATTAACATTGTTAGGATATTCATTTGAATTTATTTATAGCATATGGATTTTTATTGAAGGATTGATATTTGAAGAGTGTATAAATGTATTTTTCATACTTGGGTACATTTGGTGAAACAAACACCCAAAGGTAGCCCGAATTTCTCATCATGACCATGTCTTCATGTTTATTTGAAATTTTTTCAAGTCGAGTTGCTCAAGTTTTCGTCTAAATTCAATTCTAAAAATTTGTAATTTCATGGTACTAATTGATTTTAATTTGAATGGCTTTTTGTTGAGGGATTCATTTTGAAATTGAAAATTAATCAACTAATTACTAAAGATTTCGAGTTATTCGAATTTTATTTGAATTTTTTTCGAGCCAAGATGAATTAACCAAATAATGAGTTGAGTCAAGTCAAATTTTTTTGACTTTGAATCTAGTAAAGAAAATTCTATTTTTTCAAAGTTATATGTATGGCTCTTGACATGAGTCTATATTTGTTTACTTATCAACTCTTATATATACGTGCACACAACACAACAGTAACTACAAAGAGGAGGAGAACAAAAACTAAAAGTATACAAAAGATGTCTCTTCTACGTGAAGGAAAAATTGTGTACAACGATTACTCATGGTGGGCGTGGTTGTATAGCAGTTAAACAAGTCTTTTTTTTTTGTTAATTTCAGAAGAGCTGTATACATGTATATGTATATGTATATGTATATGTATATGTATATGTATATGTATATGTATATGTATATGTATATGTATATGTATATGTATATGTATATGTATATGTATATGTATATGTATATGTATATGTATATGTATATGTATATGTATATGTATATGTATATGTATATGTATATGTATAGATGGCTCAGAGGAGGGCTAATCCATACTTCCGACGAGCGACGGTTCGTAATATCGTCCTCCATCCGCAAACAGCGCAGCTGCTTACCTTTGTTTATGCTGTTGAGCTTTGTCGCAATGGTTGTGCCTCACTACCAACTTCATTGCTATGCTGCTGGTTGTCAAGCGGCATGTACTGCGACATGATCGCCATGATCTCCGAATCCATGTATGACTGTAAAGTGTAAACAAACAAATTAATCAACACGTATAACCCATTAACCATGTCATGATACATATAAAGCAACATGTCAAGTTCAGTTACCCGGAGCCTATATTTGTAGAATATATACCCAGCTATGCCGGCGGCCGTCACGGCTGCCAGGACCAAGAATGTGATGAACCACCCGAAGCGCGACCCGTTTCTCTCTGCAACAAGGATGAACAACAATTGGTAATACCGTTTAAGAAAAATCGTTTGTCATAAGTTGAATTCATGATTTTACCTATGCATGCATCTTGATCCCTTATGTAGAGAAGATCCCCTTTACACTTGCATTCATATGAACCCCAAGTGTTTTTGCAGGAGCAGTCATCGCACCGGCAAGCACTTCGTTCTTTGCACTCGTTGATATCTGAAGAAAAGAACAACAGATGGGGGATGAACAAATTCCACTGTAATGGAGACTAGAGAAACAAGTTAAGGTAAAAGCACCTTCACATTTATGACCATCCCCACGAAAGCCTTGTGGACACTGACAACCTCTTAATTGGTTTTCCTGCTTTATACAATGGAGTGGCTTTAGCGGGACAATAGAAAATCATTGGAGAAAAAGGACAGTAAGGAACAAATGACTAAACTGTGCAAGCAGAGAAAGTTGATCCATCTTTTGTTTCAGACCAGCAACCTCCGTTGTTAATCGTGCATCTCGCCGGTCCAAAGGCTGTAAACGGATGAGAAATGGTAAGTAGTGATCGAGTAAACGCATTGCCGGTGTTGAATCTAATTTAACACAAGGGAAAAAGCTGCACCTTCACAAGATATGTAACCATCTCCTTTGTACTGCACCCCCTTCACAATGGGGCATTCACATACTCTTCCCCTGAATGTGTCCTAAACAAATTCAACATCTCTTTTTATTAGTAGGAATTGAAAAGTTGAACTGTCTATAAACTTTCTGCACTTTACCTTGCATGCTGTTATGTTAGCTCGTTTATCCTGCCAACATCCGCCATTTCGTTCGAGGCACTCGTTAGTTTCGATATCTGTTAAAATAATACGAAGCCGATATTAAGATTCCTGAATGTAATCCTAGTGTAGAATGTAAGAAAGTCCAACCTACCTGCACTTAAGCAGACTGAAGGTTCGGTAGTCTCCTTAAATCCGGCGCAGATTGCCTTAAGCACAGCACTTCTCTCCAGTTTTCCTTCATAGCAAGGAAACACAAGAAATTCAGCATCATTCAATAGGAATTTTGCAATCTCATCCACCAACATGATATGTAACAAACCTCGATATTGAATGTCGTTGACGACCAATGTCGGCAAAATGGTAACATCACCACGAGAGCCTTGGCCAACCTGAATTCCATAGATTGTAGCAAACTTAGCAAGCTAATATTTGCTTCTATTTAAGATGGAAGAAGAGAAAGGTGTACCTGAAGTTGTTGCTCCTGCTTCAAGACTTCATTCTCGACATCGGCTTCAGGATCACCCATGCACTTTTTAATTTTCTCAATAGGCAAATCTGGTTAAGCATATGAAGCCAGTTAAGCAAGAATGCTCGAAGATAAGCGAAAATCCGATCAGAAAAAAAAAAAAATAACCTCAGTGACCGAAAATATCTTATAATATACGATTTTGACCAATTTTTTTTCGATTTACCAAAATGACCAACAAAATCGCAATGCGATCTCTAAATCGCAACGCGATCTCCAGTATCGCAAATCAGTTTCCAGATTCGCGCTGCGATTTTGACTATCGCATTGCGATTATGTAAATCGCAGCGCGATTCTGACTATCGCAACGCGATTTCCAGTATCGTAAATCAGTTTCCAGATTCGCAACGCGATTTTGACTATCGCAACAACACGTTTTTCAAACTTTCGCAACACATTTTAACTATCGCAACATATTTTTCAAAATCACGTTGCGAATCTTACAATCGCGTTGCGAATCTGGATATTCGCGTTGCGAATTTGGAAACTGAGCTGAAAAATTAAAGTTTGCTTTGCGAATTTAAGATCGCGTTGCGATTTTGTTGGTCATTTTGGCAAATCAAAAAAAATTTGATTAAAATCGTATATTATAAGGCATTTTCGGTAACTGAGATTATTTTCTCAAAAAAAAAATAACTTACCAAGAGAACTCATGACACCCTCAGCACATTCTTTGCTATATCTCTTCTCCTTCATTGAACACCTGATATGAAAATCTGTGACATAGTCCCACCAAATCCAAGGCCTCTTGCTCTCATTGGCAACTCTGTGCACACAGAGCTGTCTCAGGTTCTCAAACACCACATCCTTTCCTTGATATCCCTCTCCGAAATCTTGTTCCGGATCGGGAGCGCAATATCTTCCTCGGTTTATACACTGTGACTTGCACTGACTGCTAAAGATAAAAGCTTCAGGACAATACCAAGTTATGTAATGTGGTGTGAACAAAGTGTAACCCCCTTTTTCAAGTATCTGGGCATGGCCTTTGAAATTTTTAACAAAATTCATCTGCTCATCGCAACGAACGCCGCACTCATCGTTGCTATTAGTCCACAGCTCGTATTCGACCCTCTGGTCCGGGTGGGGCATCGACTCCCTCCAGTCTAATTTCACCACCACATCTTCACGCTTCTTCAGGGCCTCCTTTAGGTTGTCACCAAAAGACTTTTCTACCAGAGCCGACGGGATTCCGATCTTCTCGACGTACTCATTCGCATCGCTGCTTTCCTCAGGAGAATCCATAGTTATCAGAGGTTCATCTATGCTATCTGCCACCAATACTGCCGCAGCCCCAGCCTGTTGGGCATGCCATACCTTCAATGCAAAGTAGCATTCTACAAGTGCAACACAACAAGTCATGAATAATTATGATTTGATGATGAATGGCATATGAAAAGCATAATGACAAAATTAGTTTCCGATGTTTATAAAAATAGTCATTTTGGTCCATGCATTTTTTAGCATATTAGTCCTAACGTTTTGATTTTTGGTCAAAATAACCCCTATTGGATAGAACTATTAGTCGAGTAACGGTTTACACTGGCGTGACATATATTACGTCATTCAAAGTGATGACGTAGCATGTGCCATGTCACCTAAAGCGAAGATATGGTATGTAGCACGTTACTAATTAAGTGCATGTAAAAATGTTACGTCAACAACATGTGTTGATCGTTCGTCATCTTAAAATTTTCATTCAACAAAGGCTATTTTAATCAAAAAAAAATAAAACGCTAGGAGTAAAATATTTGAAAAAGGAACAGGGAACATTAATACAAACATAAAATATACAAACTGCACCTAGTTGTTGCTGGAAAAAGTTTTTTTTTCTTTCAGAAGCAATCAATCATGAAAACATGTGCACATGCAAATCCAGCAAGGTTAGGGAAGAAAAGCAGTGGACAGTACTAAACGAATGAAATCCTTAAGAAAGCAAGTCAAAGAAGACAAATTTAGCATTGAAAAAAGTGTGAAGAAAAGATTGCCCAGAAATATACAAGAAAAAAGGAACTATACACAGATTTAAGCAATATTGTTGAAAAGAAATGGAAGGAGAAATACCTCCACGATCAAGAAGGACAACCGAGGGACGGGGAGACTTAGACTTGAAGGGCTGACCTCCATCAAAGGGCTCACAGCCATTAGCTCCTTTGTCTGGATAAACCACAGAGCCAATAATGAACCCACCATAGTCTGGTATCCCAAAGTTACCTATGGAACCATCGTGCTTCCCTCTTAGACTCAATGGAGACAACACCCTGATGCTGTTCTTCTCAACCACAAACCTTGCAGAGACTCCACCCAACACAAGGATGGATGCTAATAAAACAGGAACCATCATGCATAACCATGTCATCCTCGTCTTCAAGAAAGTAATCAGCAGCAGCTCTGGACTTGTTGTGTTTGTTTTCTTCAGGAAATTAAAAAGATGGCTAATAGTATTAGAGAGAGAAGAGCAGCTGATGGTTTAATTGCTTTGTGAAAATCAAACTGTGACGTGAAGTTAACGACAGAGGAAGAGAGGTGGTTGGGTGGGTGGTGGACTAAGTCATCAGAACTACCATTTTTTTCATTGCCAAGGCTACATTTCAACTACTCACCAAAATAAAAAAAAAAATGCTTCAAGGTCATAAAGGTTACTGTTGCTCTGAAGTAAATCTATTTTCTCAATTTTGTTGGTATTATTTTTTTCATTAATTTAATCATCGAAGTTGTATAAATTATTTATTCTAATCCTCAAAGTCCGTTTTGACTAACAGTCTGTTAGTCTTCCGCGTTTATCAACACTAGTAATTTCCAAATTAACCAATATTACAAATATGGCTTGATGATGAAGTGACATGTATTTAAAAAATAAATAATAAAATATTTACTAAATATAACGGTTAGGAAAAATCCTCAAATTTCGATCTAATCCCTTAATCTCACTTAAATAAATAATAATAAAAAATTAGAATTTGTTCTAATTATTGTGTTTAATAAAATATTTTAACATAATCACTTAATTCAAAAACACAGAAGTCGCATAATTCAGTTAATTAAAACGGTCAATGGACTTCAAGGACTAAGATAAATATCCTAAACAATTTTGAGGGCTAAATTGATGTAAAAAATAAAATACGAGAAATTGATAATTTAAGTTTACTACAGAGTAACATTGACCCTTTGGAAAAAAAAAACAATATTTATAAATTCTCCAATATTTTTTCTCTAATTTAGTAATGTTTACTTTGATCCTAAGGGAAAACGACCTGTTCTCTTCATTTTTATTAATTAAGCAGGAACCAATGTGCTTGATCATCAGATCTAATTAGCTAGGCAAGACTTGTATGTATCTATACATATAGCAAGGAGGACAAGTGTAAGCCAATAATTTAGTGAAGAATGAGTTTGATTAGGGAAATTGCAAGAAACTTAGCTCTCAGCGGAATATAGTAAATATAGGATATATATATATACACCTACGTAGGAATTTATGTTTAATTACGCTCAAGTCTAAAAATTTAAGAGATACGAAATTAGATAATTAATAAAAAATATAAAAAAATTATAAAATATAAGAGAATTTAAAATTTCTAGGGGGTACGACCGCACTCCAGCATCCCCTTGGTCCATACATGGCAATAGTGGACAAAGGTTTATCCACGATGACACGTGCTCAGCTGATGGTCTATTTTCGCGTTGTGATTTTCTCGTTGCGAATTTAAGTTTCAGAAAATACTCTTATTCTGCAAATTGAAATTTGAATGAATTGCATTACTTCAACAAAAAGACAAAACAAAGACAAATACTAACTTCACAGTGTTGCTAATTTAAGTTTCAAGAATAAACTACTACTCTTTATGTTGTCCTTGAACCTGCACTAAACCTATATGTTGTCATTTTAAATGTTTATATAAGTTCTTACTTCTAGAATATTATTTGATGCATTTTGTGAACTATGATGGAATAATGACAGCATATGAATATCGTGCTAGTTTGAAACATATTTGGCTTTGTTTTCACTGTTTAATACCATGTCTGTTTATAGTGTATAATTTGTAGTTTTTGGTATATCTAACTTGGTATGTTTATTGTTTTTGTAAAAAAAATTTCGGCCGCATTGACCTTAAGGAATAAATTAAGCCTAGCCACTAAAATTGCGTCGACGCTTACACATCTACAAAGAAAATTGTTTGAGGATACTTACTTCGGGCCATGGCTGAAAGTACAACATACAGGTGGAGATGCTATGTAAGCGGTTTTTTGATGGGACGGATGATGAGCACCCCCCACTTCGAGAGCCATCACCTGATCGAGCCTCTTCTCCACCTCCACCATCACCTATTCCATCACATCATCGAGCCTCTTCTCCACCATCACCTCATGAAAAACGACCGGAAAAGAGGCCACGACATTTATCTCCCTATTCTCCACCTCCACGGGATGAGTTAGGGGAGTTACGTGATGAGGTCGGTGTTTTGCGTCATGAAGTTGATACTTTACGTGAAGATAATGGTGCATGGTGTGATGAGGTTCGGTCTTTACATGGTGAGGTGGATTTTTTACGCGATGACAATGGTGCGCTACGTGGTGAGGTATCCACTTTACGTGATGAGGTTGCCGCTCTACGCAAGATTGTTTCATCGTTGCAGAATGAGGTTCATACTCTACGCAATAAGGTAAATTTGTTTAATATTATACTAAAAATGCAAATAACCTTTTTTCGGCATTATTTATTTATTTATTTACTGATTTATGTATTAATTTATTTTCAACGGCCCGATAAGGTAGATGCTTTACGTTGGATTTTTCTTGCATGACGGGGTTCACGCATCAGACGTCGTGCACGTGCCATTACGTCTTCGTTCACCCCACTAGTGCCAAGACTCCGTAAGAAGAAGCCCGATGCACCTATCATCATTCAAGAGGCGCCTCCTATCGTTCAAGAGGCCCCTCTCATCATTGAAGAAGCCCCTCCCACCGTTCAAGAGGCCCCTTCCATCATTCAATAGGTCCCGACCACCGTTCAAGAGCCCGATTCATATGGTGTCATATGTCGACATATTGATAAACCCCCTCCCGTGCCCGATATGATGGATGCAAGTTGGCTTTCGTATGTGTTACCGGCTAGTACCATTCCTCAGCAGGAGAGGGAAACACTATTGGACACAATTACGGATAATACCCTTTGGGCTGAGACCGCAGTTGATTTTTATCTACATGAGCGGAGCAAGGGGTGTTATTCTAACCTATGCCAACTCGAGGATGTTATTCATTTGTTTCTTGATCGGTCTTGGTGGGGTATTTTATTAGGGGTTGAAGATAATGGCTATCTCGAAGGGGTGGTAAGTCTTATATTCTTCTTATATTGCATTTTGATTAATTTTTTTTAATTATTAATAAATTAGCTAATATATGTATTTTTTTTATAAAACAACATATTAATGCATGGGTGTCATGTCTTCTAATAATAAGGAAATTGAGGAAAATAAGAAATACTCGATGGACTATTATGCCGACGTCTTTTCACGTAGCTCACTTGAAGGATCCGAGAGATGCTTCATATAAGTTGGGTAATAGATAAACTAAACTGTTGAAAACATTTTTGTGTTTCGATATAACAAATTAGTTTAAATGAATTTTAAGATTTTACAAATGATTTTCTAATTATATTCGATTCAATTAATCGAATATCAAATTATTACTTCATGTCTTTTAAGATCAATTTCAAACCTTACTAAATGTGTAAAATTGTGTTTTATACTCAATATATTTTTGAACCAAAATCAAGCCTAAAATCAATTTTTCAGAGTGATGCACCGATGCACCAATCCATGCATCGATGCACCAATCCATGCATCGATGCACCATTAATTAAATTGAACATCGAATGCATTTCATGCATCGATACACCTACCATGCACCGATGTACTGAGGATTTTATGAAAACATCGAATGCATTTGATGCATCGATGCACCAGCCATGCATCAATGCACTCTGGCTATTTTGAAACATCGAATGCACTTGATGCATCGATGCACTCTTAGTGCACCGATGCACTAAGGGTCCAACGGTCAAAATATTTGAATTTTACACGGATGCACCGATGCACCATGGGTATGCATCGATGCATTGACGCTCCTAACTGCTTTAATTAATTGTTTTCACACTTAAACGGCTCTATTGACTCCACTAATCATCTCCAACATTCAGAAGTGATTCAAGGTGTATTTAAACAAGCTTAGAAGCCATTGATCAATAACAAGAAACAACAAGCAACTAGAATCAAGAGAGATTCAAAGAGAAAGCATCAAACCTCAAATTTGAGCATTTCAAGCCTATTTTTCATTCAATATTCATTTTGCTTTCAAGAACACTTATTGTGCTCAATTGTATTTATTCTTGAGTGTTCTTTCTTTGTTCTAGAATTGTGCAAACATATTTTCCTTGTGAGGTTTTTCTTGTAAGTTTGCAAATTTGTAATCTTCTCTTTGAGAAAAGAATGTTCTCAAGAATTGGGGTATATTCTTGAGGGAGTTGTAAGGTTATCTCTTTGGCCTCAAAAGAAAGAACAAATTAGTGAATTTGTTGGAAAATCTTTAGTGTGGATAGCTAAGGTAGTGGTCGTAGACTTTGGTTGATAAAGTTGAACCACTCTAAATCGCTGTGCAATTACTTTCAATTTTCTGCAAAAGCTTCCACCAAAATTTTTATTGTCAATTCACCCCCTCTTGGCTGATTCCATCGATCGATTAACTCAACAATTGGTATCATAGCCTCACTCATTTGAAGGTTTAATCTCCTCTTGAGTTGATTCGGGAAGAGTTACATCAATTATCAAGTCATCAATGACCTCCGCTTCAAATTACGACTCCGGTCTCGATTCGATGCCCGTCAACAAGCCTCCTTTCTTCAATGGGGGCTAACTATGCCTATTGGAAAAATAGGATGATGTACTTCATTCAAGCAAGTGACATGGGAGCATGGAATGCCGTAGAAGAATGATACATCAAGCCTCTCACTCATCCAAGATTATGGAGTGAATGAGAGACAAGAATGTTCCAGCCCAACTCCAAAGCCATCCATATCATATTTTGTGCTCTTGACCAGATGAATACGGAAGAGTTTCATCTTGTACAACCGTAAAAGAAATATGGGACAAACTTCAAGTCACTCATGAAGGTACCGATGAGGTAAAGAAATCTAAAATTAGTATTATAACGCATAGCTATGAAAATTTCAGGATGAAACCAAATGAAGATATCAAAGCTACGACGGATAGATTTTCAACGATTTTCAATGGTCTTAAATCATATGGAGAGATCATTTCAAATGAAAAGCTTGTGAGGAATTTAGTCTACTCTTTTCCAAAATCGTGGCAATCAAAGAAGACGACAATCATTGAGTCTAA